CCAAAACCCCTTTACGTTTTTCACAACAGATTCTGAGAAGAACATGTTTGCCACAAACTCGAGCCTCGATTGATGGGGCCGACTGCTGCTCATTCGACGACGATCCTTCATCGTCCACCACCAACTTTGATTTCTTGATATGTACCGTGGGGTTTCTTGCTTGTTCCTCGAGTATATCCACTCGTTCTTGGAGGTATTTCGAATACCTTATAGCATTTTCCAGTACAGAAGCTTCATCCATTTCTGCCCCCAAAAAAAAAAATATTATGCTGCTTAAATATATCGATTCTTGAAGTCTATATTGTGTGTGTGTGTGTAGAGAGAGAGAGAGAGAGAGAGAGACTTTGTGTATCTTCTTCGGCTGTCCTATGTTTGCTACTCTGGTTGAACTCTGATAAAATAAACTGGTGGAAACTATTTTTCATATTTTTCATGTAAGCATGTGAAAATCGAGCGTATTTCTTTATTCATAATTGCTACAATAGAGATGCTAGATATACACCACACCTTGGTGTACTAGCAAAATTCTTGCTGCAAAACAATGATGACAAAAGTATGACTGACGCCAGGAGTTAAACTTTATTTTCATTTGGAAAACTCTTTGAGTCCCCACTTTTCTTGGTAAAAAGATTCTCAAAACTAGGTCTCACTTTTTAGTCAGAGAACATCCTTTTGGAATTTTTTAGTTTTTATTTTTTTTCTATTTCTATAGTAGAACCATTTTCTAATTGTATTATAGGTTATTAATTTTTCTCATGCTTATATTTTCATCGTATTCTTATCAGCGATATTTATTAATAGCACATTTTGTTCTTAGTAATGATTTTCATCTAAAAATTGCATCAATATGATAAATTTTTTTTAAAAAAAAAACCTTATTTGCTCTCATATTTTTTGAGCAAGTAAAAATATCAACTACAAAAGGGTGATAGAACATTTGTACATAAACGTCACTAGAGAATACTACCCTAGTAAATATATATTGATTAATAAAGATTGGGGATAATAATGTAACAAAAAATTGTGAGGTCACAAAAATAAGAATACGGTGTCAATATAAATACACAACAAAATTATTAAGATCCCAATTGGAATTTGATTGCCAAACGATCCACATTTATTTTAGATGTTTGTAAATACATGATGTTATTGCTATATTTTTTCTTAGATTTATATAATGTCGATACTAAGGTAAATGAAATGCAAGCATGGGCGGACTTAGGGGGTCCTAGGGGGCAACTTTTAAGATTTTTTTTTAAAATCGTGTTTGGTATTGATTGAAATCTAAATCAAAGTTAATAATTAATTTTAATAATATATTTTATGGAATCCATAATTGTTAACTTTTATCAAAAATTTACTAAAAATTTGATTTTATTCTCTACCAAATAGGGACAAAATTACAATAAATTTGAGTTTCGATAATATGCTAGTTTTAAAAAAATTTCGACGATCGTACGCTAATCGAATCTACAAATTGCTTATATCATTTCAAAACTTATTTCGAGAACTACATTATGGGCATATCGAATAGTTCAAAAAGATATAGAAAATAGTTAAAAATACGTTAAACGTGAGTTTTAAAAAAAATGTAACTCGTATTTTTTTTAAAATTCAATTATTTCATTAATATTTATTATTTTTGCGATACAAATTTCTCTATGTAATTTTCATCATTTTATTAAGAAATTTTATATGAAATATGACATAAAAAATTTTCGAAATTTTACATTCGAAAAAGTCATATCCCATGTAAATTTTCGGATGTAAAATTACATGGGGTATGATTTTTTTAAAAGTAAATTTTCGATTATAAAATTTCTCCCAATTTTTTTACAAGTTCGATTGTGCCCCCTAACTTTTAAGTTCTGCATCCGCCCTTGAATACAAGTAATATCTCTAGTGAAAATATTTATGATTACACTTTTGATAAATGTAAGATTATCAACCGGAAAAAACCTTTTTTATGTCTAGAGCAGTTAATTTTGATTCGTCTTGTGATACTGAATTCGGTGAACACTCGAAATTATGGATTAAGTTAACTAATTTTTATTGTTTTATTTTTTTTCCCTCTCGATACTTTTTAGCCTAATATAGTTTCATGGGTTTGTATCAAATATTGTGCATTTGTTTTGATACGAGTAAACTTTTTACTGAAAGCTAAACAAATTGTCATTTTTTGTTACCGTGCAATTTGTTATTTCGTGAATATACTGTAAAAAGAAACACCGCAGTTTAGTGTTGTCTATTTCATCAAGTTGTTGTTTATCAATGCAGTTGTCATGATTGAAGCAAATATATCTGGTGATATTATTGAAGGAAGTCGATATTGAAGTAAATGTAATGCATGTAATATGATAAGCGACAACTTGTATGGTAATATTGTTGATAGAAATAGAGATGTTGATAATGCATGTATCATATGATGTATCTGAATCTTTTTTAACTTATTACTATGTTTCATTTTTTAAATACAGCCTTTTTAAATTCTCATTTTCTCCAAAATATATTTTTCTATGTCTCATTTTCAATTACACATTCTTCAATAAAATAATATTACACGCAAATTCAAATTTTTTTCTTCTTTTTTAATCGCACATTCTCCATCAATCTATTATTCCAAAATGCATTCTTAACCTTTTAATAGGGCTCAAACATAGGCATATTATGTAGCTCTATATTTTCTCCATTTCATTTCTTCTTATTTTGATGTATATTTACTTATTTATAGACTTTAGATTATTGGCTCGAAATATCCTTTTGTTATGAAATAATCAAAATATCTCTTGTTAGAAGAAATATCAATATGCCCGAATTGTTGATAGCAATGTTGAAAATATAAGAATTATGTATTACTTGAATACCACTTGTGAAACTAACCACTGGAATGAATTATTGAAGTTATATGACAAAAAACTATTAGATTAAGTAAAAAATAATAATAAAAACAAAAAATATGACAGAGGAATTAAGAGATTTTATTGACTCAAAAGTAATTGAGAATAGTGAAAATTTCAATGGATCCTATAATTTTAATAATTTATTTTCTCACATTATAAAATTGTATAGAAGAGTCTAATATTTATAGAGAATATGTAGGGGATATCCAATCCCTTCTAGTAGAGTTGTTGATGAAGTATGATGTCAAAAATCGAGTCCAAAACGAAAAATAAGAGAAAAATGTGAAAAACCCGAAATAAGTCGAGTGGCACAGCGGTGCCCACCTCCGAGAGCCCAGGCCCGAGCGTTCTGTAGAAGTTTTTATTTATTTTTTTGTTCCCAAATTATTTTCTCCATCCCGAACTCTTTTTCAAGTCTAATACCAATTTTCAACTCCCAATGAGCTTCCAAAATAGAACTTCAATTTGACATAAGATTCTAATAGCATTCCAAATTAAATTCTCCTTAACGTGCACTTCAATTAGAATTCTTCAAATTCGGGTGGATTCGGGTCATACCCGAATTGTAACACCTTCTAACATCTGAAGCAGTTAATTTTGGTTCATCGTGTGATGGTGAATTCGATGCACACTCAGAATTATAAATTATGTTAACTTATTTTAATTGTTTTATTTTCCTCACACTAGGGATTTTATTTTTGTGCAAGCAATTTTTTTACTGAAAACTAAATATAATAGGGTTTCTTATTTGAATACAATTTGCTATTGCTTGAATATGCTATAAAAAATTAGCATTGTAGCTTAGTGATACCTTTTTGATACATCTGTTGTGGTTGTTTATATAATACAGTTGATGTGATTGACTTAGATATATTTGGTGATATTGTCGATAAATAAAGTGATGTTGTTGATGTTGATATTTATTGATTTCGCAATATAATTTTCGATTTTTCACAACATTATGCTTTTTCACTACATTGTGTATATTCCAACAAGGAACGTGTTTGCATTAATCTATAACTAATTGTTCTAGCTATTTAGCTATTTATGTATGCTTCATTTTTCTCATTGTTAAAGGCTTTAGTTTTTTCATTTACTTAATTTGTAGATGTGGCATGATTAAGATGAAGTTACTCTTTCATTTTTTTTATACAAATATTATTGCTAATTGCCATGAAAACAACATTCTATCACTATACATACTCAATGATGTATGTGTATGTTTTTCTGTATTATTAAATTTGCGTACTATATATCGGTAAAACATATAATCATTTTATCATCAATATGCTGAAAAGATGTACGTCGAAACAATTTGTACTTCTTAAAATATTATATTGATATAAAGGATATATGTTATGGATTTTGCTACTTGTATATAAAAAAAATTAATTGAGCGGTTACTGAAAATGATGTGAAGGGAAAAAAAAATTGGATGAAAAAGATGATGTGGCATTATATAATCCATTATATAAATCTTGACGTACATATAGCAATATCCATGTAGTATATGTTCTCCAATTGTATAGAAAGTGGCATTTTGAATGGTAAATCATAGTCAACTTTGTGCAGTACTTATAAATATAATTTAAGAAGCATGAAAGAAAGTCTAAAAAAATATACCTTTCTCAGTCACGTGTTGCCATTGCCAACTTTTTACGTTCATTGTGAAGCCGTTAAGTTTCATAAAGAAAGTGGTGCATTACGTTATTCCAATAGTGAAATTAGTTTGAAAATAAACAAAGTTGTACACACTATTTAAATCAAATTCTGAAAAATATTTAAATTTTAATATCATTGAGCAAAGTTACAATTGTGACTTTGCTATGATAAAGATGCAAGGAAAAATAAAGGCATTTACACATTTAAAATTAAACGTCAAGTATATCATTTTATAAATTAAATAGTTTCATCAATTGATCAACTTTCTTATTTACAACTATATATATATATATACAGAAATGATCTAATGAGCACCGGTGCTCATCTTATCCTAAGCACCGATGAGTTGGCACATTAATTCATTGGTGGATAAAGATTTTGTGAGTTCCAATCCACCAATGAATTAATGTGCCAACTCATTGGTGTTTAGGATAAGATGAGCACCGGTGCTCATTAGATCATTTCTGTATATATATATATATANTTGATTTAAAAAATCATTCCATTCGAATATGTTGTGACCCTAGCCTTGGTCAAGAAAGATACAATGTGCCAATAGTGACGCAGTGCGAAATAAAGAATTCAAGTGAAAACCTTAAGAATACGAATTTTGGAATCCAACAAATTATGAAAAATTAAACTCACAAATTTTAATAATGAAATATAATTAAAAAAAAAAACAATGAGATAACTCTTTATTTGTAGGGGTTTACAAGAAACCTAGTTTAATAAGAGCAAAATTAATGGAAACCTAGTTTAAACAAACTAAAATTAAAAAAGAATTCAAAATAAACTAAATGACAAAAACAGCACTAAAACTTTCAAAATCGGTTTTCGAATCCTAAACGATCTCGGACGGCAAA